TTACTGAGTTTACCTAGGAGGAAGCCTATTGTTCATGTGTTTTACGATGTGGAGGCTTCACAAGTTCGGTGGCAAAAGGAGCCTTTCGAGGGAGCTTTTGTGGATCACAAAGATAAGAATGCCTTTAATGAGGAGACAGTGCAGAGGTGGAGAAATACTCTCAATAAAGTTGTTGTTCTTTATGGTTGGGAAATGAAGAATTACAGGTATTACCAAATATCTTGGATTTCTTGAAAAATAAATAAAAGACCTAACACAGTCTCTCTCTCTCTCTCCCTAATGTTGCGATCAGGAACTCAATAGAAAGTAAGTATAAAGTTTTGACTATTTTCAAGTCCTCCATTGATAGTCACCATTTATTTGGTTTTTACCTTTAAATGGGAATGAATTGATGGGACTAACCCATTTAGATTTTTCATTTAATTACTTTTATAGATATCTAAAATGCAATCTGATATAGCTTCATGTGCATAAAAATACTTCTTTGTGTTACATGTGTGGAAGCAAATCACACATGTGGGAGTTTTATTTGAATTTTCTATCTTTTATTTCGAGCTATTAGATTGCATTGTGGTCTTATACGAGTATTATTCTTTTAAAAAGATTAAAACCATTTTGTTTAGAGATAAAATTTGTGAGAAAAAAATAGAGAGATTGGGCTGTAATTGGGTTTTCTCTTGGAAGCTTAGTATGCTTTGTTTTAGAAAGAGAAAGTGAGAGAAAGGAAAGTGTTAAAGAGATACCATTTTTGCGCGTTCTTGGTGTCTTATTTTTTGGCTCTGTTTAGAGTCAGAAAGGGTTGGAAATTGATATTTTGAGCATGATTTCTCCTTGTAATTGTTGTGCGTAGAAACTTTAAACCCAATGGGTTGATTTTTGGCAAATAAAGCAAAAAACACATGTCACAAGAACACAAATATTTATGTGGTTCATCACAAAATGGTTACATTCGTGGGCACGGCAAACAAAAATCTACTATAGCAATGAAAGTTACATCAAATATTTTGGAACAATTCTCGACAAAAACACGGTTGAACAAACCCTTTAAACCACTCTCCCTTCTTTCTCTTTAACCATTATCGACAAAACCAGATAGAGACGCGAGAGCAACGAGAAACTGACTTTCTCTTTAACTAAATGGGAAACAACCTAAAATCTCCATGAGAATCGCTTCTCTACAAGAAACCAACATGTCACTTTGCAGTAGTCTTCAGGAGGCAACATCAATGTTTTTTTTCATAGGAAGCTCTCTTCTCTAAGAAAAAATTGCATTTTATGCACAAAAGGCTCTGCCTCCCTCTCTCTCTAGAGGAAACCACCATTCCCGACCCCAAATAGGGCACACAAATGCCCAACACTTCCATATATATAAGATTAGGAGTCCTTACTAAATAGGAAATTTCCCATAGTTTTTACATGTATCTCAAAACTTAAGAGATAAATATAAGAGTCCTAATCTTTTTGGATTTATATTTCATTGAGATTGAGAATATCTCAATCTCGCATAATGTGAAAATATCTTAATCCCATAAATTATGGGATTTCTTTATGTTGGTGATTTTGGATATCACCAAATCCAACAATCTCCACCTGGATATCAAAATCGCCTGCTCACCATATCAGCATCTATTGGATAGCGTTACAGATTCTTCATCTTTTGCCAAATAAATTCCTCCATCATTCTTACTGAAAAATAGTATTTGCCATCAAAATTTTCCACCTCGAACTTTGCATTCGAAACCTTTACTGCCATACCGACAGCCCCAAACCGGGCTCTGATGCCACTTGTTGTACGCCGAAGCTCTAAACCCGATGAGTTGATTTTTGACAAATAAAGTACGAGAAATAAAGCAAGAAACACATACCACAAAAACACAAACATTTACGTGGCTCACCCCAAAAGGGCTATATCCACGGGTACGGCAAACAGAATTCCATTATAGCAATGAAAGTTATATCAAATATTTTGGAACAAATCTTGACGAGAACACAGTCAAACAAACATTTTTAAACTACTCTCCCTTCCTTCTCTTTAATTCTAGCAACCATTATCGACAACACCACATAGAGACGCGAGAGCAACAAGAAACTGACTTTCTCTCTAACTAAAGGGAAACCATCTAGACTCTCAATGGGAACTGTTTCTCTATAAGAAACAAGCATCTCATTCTCCAAGTACAAGCCTCTCAATTGTTAGGAATCTACAGGAGGCACTATTACAATGTTTCTTTCTATAAAAAGCTTTCTTCTCTAATAGGAAATTGCATCTTATGCACAACAGGTCGTGCCCCCTTTCTTTCTATAGATGAACTAATATTATCATATGGCGACCTAAATAGGGCACACAAATTCTCTATACTTTCATCCCATATATATAATGTTAAGAATCCAAACTAAATAGGAAATTTCCTATAGATCTTACGTATATATCAAAAGACCAAGAGAGTCATAATCCTTTTTGGATTTCTATTTCCCTTTGTAAACTATCAATATCAATCTTAAGCCTATGGGAATATCTCAATCCCACAGAATATGGGAATATCTCAATATCTCAATTCCACATAATATGAAAATATCTCAATCCCATAAAATATGAGATTTTCTTATGTTAGTGATTTTGGATAACACCAAATCCAACAGTAATCTTCCCAAATTAGTAAGTAAAGTCTCGCTCTATTCTCCTATGGATGTAGGTCATGATTTGTGATCGAACCACGTTAAATCTTTGTGCTCTGTGGATTGAATGTTGCTGGATTTTCATTTTATGTTCTTGCTTTGATATTGTGTAGTTTCGTTTGATAGTTTATATTGATATGAATGCACAATAGCTATGAATGTTATAAACCTTTGCTGATTTTCACCAATCGATCCTAACAATTGGTATAAGAGTTTGACTCTCTTGCGCTTGTCTAGGTAAAACAATGGAATTTGGTTCTTGTATATCCACAACAAGTCTTTCTTGTTTTGGCTATTCTTGCTTCTTTTAAGCAAACATTACATTCTCATTAAAGAGAACATCCCGACTTTTGATAGTCTTATTTGCAATAAGATCCCAAATCATATAACCTCTGTCATCACCACCATAACCAAGAAAAACACATCTTCTTGACTTGGCTTCCAGCTTGGCGCTACTTTCACTAGGCACTTGAACATAAGCTTCACACCCAAATGTTCTCGAGTGTTCAAATGACACACTTTTACCTCTCCATAGAATTTCAAGTATTTCTCCATTCAAGGGTACACTGGGAGATCTGTTGATCAAACATACAGTTGTACTAGCAACTTTAGCCAAAAATTGCTTACCAAGACCAGATTGTGATAGCATGTTTTTTACTCTTTCAATTATGGTTTTATTCATCCTCTCAATGACACCATTTTGTTGTGGTGTATCAAGAATAGTCTTTACTTTGCGAATGCCACTCACTTTACCAAAAATATCAAAAGCATTTGAATAATATTCACTACCATTATCAGTTTGCAAGCATTTTGTAAATCTCTCTGTTTCTTTTTCAACCTTGGCTTTGAAAACTTTGAAAACTTCAAAAAGTTGATCATTAGATGCCAATGGATACAACCAACACTTTCTAGAATAATCATCTAAAAAAGTTACAATATAAGAAGCTCCACCAAGAGATTTAACATTAACATGGCCACAAATATTCGAATTAATCAATTCTAATGCTTTACTTTTTCTATGAAATTCATTTCTTTTAAAACTAACTCTACACTGCTTACCAATGACACAACGATCACAAAAATCAAGAAAGGAATGCTTAGAAATATGAATAAGATTTTGAGTTTGCAATACCTTCTTACCATGCTCACTGAGATGACCATAACGGCTATGTCAAATCTACATATCCTCATGCTTACTAGCTGCAACAACGATCTTCTCTGTAGCATCATTTCTTTGAGTTGTACCATGATGAGTGTAGTGCTCCCATTTTTTTTACTCTTTCAAGATTGTCACACAACCTCTTGAAATCTTTCATGATCCATTTCCAAAAGTCACTATGAACCTGAGTCATCTAACTGCCCAGCTGAAATGAGATGTTTCTTCAACTTAGGAACATGCCTCACATGTTTCAAGGATGTGTGTTTGATTTTTGGGAATTTTTTTTTTTGGCAGACGTAGACGCGGTTCTATGCCAGTACCGCGTCTCCCAAAAAAAAAGAACAAAAGTTGAAAGAGATACCTTCATTAAATGGTGCAAGGGCCCAATTGTTGGAAATTTACGGAAGCGTTGATATAATAATTTGATCGGAAAATAATAAAAACTAAAAAAATAATAGGGGTGAAGAGAAAGCCGTATTCACTCATCAAAATTTCACTATTGCAATTGATGTAAAATATATGACAGGTTACAATGATATAGTGTGGTCCACACTCACATTTGACACTTTTTTTGTTTTGGCTCTCTTTTCTTCTTCACACATTGTTCAATGGGTGCAGTTAGCATACGGATGCATTGTAGCTATAGAGGTAAGGTGCACCTTCAAATTTTACTTTTTGATGTAAAATGTTCTTAGGGCTATCTCAAAATCTAATTTTATATCTAATTATAAATTTAAATTTTAAAAATGGTTAAAATCAAGTAGATTTATAAGCATATGAAAATTTTGAAAATGGATGGTGTAGATAATATGTGGTAAAATGCATTAATTACGAGACTTAAAATCTTTTTATTTTTCATGGTCATACATCGAGATGATCAATCGAAGGGTTTTTTGGCATTAAGATTTTTGAAGTGCACCCGTAGTTCTACATATGTTTAACGTTTTCCCTCTTGAATTGATATGTACGAGGCCTTTTTTTTTTTGTTGTTGTAGAAAGCATTTGAGGGACCACGAATCCATTCGGGCAGTTTTACCAGTGCCTTTCTTTCTTTCTTATCTTAATATACGGTTATTATTATTATTATTATTATAATGCTGGAAGGGAAGATTTTAGAGAGAGAAGAGAGGCGGTGATGGTTGTAGAGAGAGAAATAATTTTTTAACACCAATTCCAAGCATTCACACTATCTCCTATCCTTTGATAGGTGTGTGTGTATTGAATAACGGAATAGAGGCTATATTACAAAGTCTATGAGAAAGAAAGACACGGCATCACAAGACTAAAAGTCTATGAGACACGGCATCACAAGACTAAAAGTCTATGAGAAAGTAAGACACGGCATCGCAAGACTGGGACGCGTAGGTTTTGACAGCCATTGAAAATGGCGTTTTCACGAGGGGCATGGAACCCACAGGACTGATTGGACGCGGCATTGCAAGCCATGTCCATGTTGAGTGCACCTTCCAAAAGCCTCGTCTTATCCTTGACATCACGAACGAGTGTAAGCCAAATAAATTTCATTTGAGACTCCAAATACCCCTTGTAAATAATTAACAAGGTTCATATCCTAATAGGAGGATCATGGAAGAGAGGGTGAGAGAAGCCTGAACATATGTAGGAGATGGAAGCTCATATAAGGGAGCCAAAGAGCTCTCGATGCCTTCATTTTACTTGTGAGATTTGTATAAAGGTGCACACTTTATATGTATCTCTAAATTTTTTGAGAAGATATAGTTATGATATTCGAAATCTGATAATAGTACGAAAATCCATGCTAAACCCAAATTATATAACTTCAAGATTTTTAAACTAGGGCTGATCAATCTATAAACACATAAAAAAATTTAAAAATAGATGGTTCAGATAACTTATTATAAAATGTATTATTTTAAGATTTGAAATTCTATTCCTTTTTATTTTTATAGATTTTGAAGGCAAGATGATAATTTAAAAAGTTTTCCAAAACTCTATGACAATATTTTCTGTTAGATTTTTGAGGTGTACCATATTTTATAGTATGAGGTTTCTCACGAAATCTCCTTCAACTCACTCGCACGTCTACTCTGAGAGTGAGAATTTAAATACACGCATCAAAGTAAACAAATTCGTGAGTTTGTAGAGAGAGAAAGCCTGCACTGAGCTGCTGCCCAAGACACAGTGTCAAACCCCGAGCTCCTGTCAGAAAAGATACTAGAACATCTCAGTACGACTTGCCTCACCATCTAGAGAGAGAGAGAGAGAGAGAGAGAGAGGAGGAGATACAACTCAGTGGTTACGGTTT